ATGTATATATGTATATGTATATATGTATATATGTACTTGTATATATGTATATGTACATGTCTATATACTGTATGTACATATCTACATATGTTTATGTATGTATATGTACGTGTGTGTAAATACATATATATGTAACCCTATATGTATGTATGTATATGCAAACATGTAAATATATATTATATATGTACATATATTTTGTGTATATATTAACATGTTTACTTATATACGTACATACATATATTATATATATACATATATACATTTACATGTATGTACTGTATATACATTTATATGTTCATATCTTGTCTGTAATAAAGCAAATAGAAGCAAACGGCAGAATCCCTGCAGATAAATACACCTAATATTATAATTAATAATTATTATATATTATATATACACAAAAGAAAACACTGAAATGTCTTGATCTGGATCTATGATTATTAAGAAAATCCCTGCATTATTCAATATCTTTAAAAACCCACAATGCTCTGGTTTGTTTTTGTCTGAGAAGATCGGAGAAAAGTTGAACACACACCAAGTATTTTTTTTCTGTTTCCATTCTTTGTTTTCACCTTCTCTCTTGTGTCCGTCTTTTCAGCTGACAACGCTGCGAGGTTCTATCCTGGAGGACGCAGTTCCCTCCACCTCTAAGCACGGCACCAGCCGAGGGTTACCCACCAAAGATGTGTTGGAGTATCTCCTCCCTGAGCTGGACCTGTCCTGTCTCAGACTGGCCCTCAACACACCAAAAGTGACCGAGCAACTCATGAAACTGGATGAACAAGGGGTACGAGGAGAAACTTTAGGCCAGAGCTCATCCCATTAATCCCGACTGTCCTCCTTGTATTCTGACGTGTGTGTGTCCGTGTGTGTGTGTATCTGCTGCCCTCCAGCTGAGTTTTCAGGTAAAGGTGGGGGTGATGTACTGCCGTGCAGGCCAGAGCACTGAAGAGGAAATGTACAACAATGAGACGGCCGGTCCCGCCCTGGAAGAGTTTCTTCAACTTCTGGGAGAGAAAGTTCGCCTTAAGGGCTTCACCAAGTACAGAGCCCAGCTGGACACCAAAAGTAACCACTCTCCGCCGTTATCTTCCACGTCACACTCACACTTTTATTGTTATGACTATTGAACCACGGAATCTTTTATTACCAGTCGCTTTGTGGCAACTTAGTTTCACTTTCTGTGGTTCCTTAAACTGTGCACATTGTTCATGAGACACTTGAGTAAAACCGTCGACTGAATACTGGCTTTGACAGTCACTTTATCCTCCTGACTCACACGTAGTTCACTTGTTTGGGCGGCACTGAAATAAAATCCTGCCTTGTGAAGGAAAAAAAAAAAAAACCAAACTGGGCACAGAGACTGTCGCATGTAAGAGATGGATGATATTGTTGTATCAGGATTCTCAACAGTGTATCACTGTTTCTCCTGCAGCGGATTCAACGGGAACCCACTCCTTGTACACTTCATACAAGGACTACGAGATCATGTTCCATGTGTCGACGCTGCTGCCTCACACACCCAACAACAAACAACAGGTGAGGACGGAGAGTCCAAGGATTTGGAGTCTCCTCTCGTGCTGCACCCGCAAACGGGAAACAAATCTCTGCGTTGGAAGCAGGTGCTCGGGAAAATCCTTAAGGGGAGGAGGGTGCAGCGTTACAAACACAGGACACGATACCGTGGCTCAGATGACAGTTTTGATTTTCTTTCCAGTTTGACGTAACAATGCCCTTTTATTACTTTCCACCTGCCACTTTTTTTTTGTTGCTGACTCCAGTGTGAGGTCGTATGAACTCTGTGCTCTCTTCAATCACCAGTTGCTGAGGAAACGCCACATTGGGAACGACATCGTGACCATTGTGTTCCAGGAGCCTGGAGCTCATCCCTTCACACCCAAGGCCATTCGCTCTCACTTTCAACATGTGTTCATCCTCGTCCGGGTGCACGATCCTTGCTCTGACAACACGTGCTACAGGTGGGTCTGGGCGTTGAATCAGGGACGATCAGACGGAAGCATTATTTCATGGGGGGAAAAAAGGTTTTAACCTAGTTTCTGTCTTAAAAGCTTCACATACCCCAGACTCCTCGGGTAGGTTTTTCTTGTACTTAAAAAAAAGGTATTGACCAGAGGGCAAAGATCAGACTTAAAAGCTTGCTGTTTCTGTGGTATAGTTGTTTCAACTGCTAAGAGGTTTTCAGTTATTCGATTATAAAAGTAGCTTTTGCCAGTGGCTGGTTGTTTTTGCTAGCTTAGCAAGATAAGTTTTGAAGTAAGTAAGTTAGTTCTGAAGGTTTTCCTACTGTAAGATAATATCACATAATACAACGGCCACGCTACCGCTATCAGTATCACTTAGCATAATCCACACATGCAACCAAATGTGTAGAAAACGTCACGCAGCAATGCACCTCGACACTTTCTGCATCAGCAGTTTTTGCGTCAAAGCTTTTACGCTGAGTCGTCATTTTGAACATACGTGTCAAACTCAAGGCCCACGGGCCAAAACTGGCCCGCCAAGTCATTATGTGTGGTCCGCGGGAGCTTAAACATTGTATAATTTACCTTATAACAAAGTCTATGTTTGCTGAATATTTTATTACACAGATACTACAATATTTGTACCTTCCTTCAATTACAGAATCAAATGCAGAATAATCAATTAGAGAAATGTGTATTAATATGTTATGTGTTGAAAAGCGTTGACAATTACAGAATCAAATGCAGAATAATCGATTAGAGAACCATGTATTAATACGTTATGTGTTGAAAAGGTTTTACAAAGGGTTTTTCAAAGGTTTTACATGTAAACGCACCACAAATTAAGAAGTTCATGTGTCTAAAAAAATATGGTGACTTTTGTCAAGTTGAGCGTTGTTTCAAAGACAGCGTGTGTGTGTGTGTGTGAGTGTGTGAGTGACCTGCCTGCAGTCCAGATCTGTCTCATAATGAAAAAGGATCAAAGGTAGTTAACACAGAGAGCTGAGCTGCTCCGGTTTGAACCGGAATATCTGTCCAAACAGCCACAATAAGGAATCACTAATCCTCAGACTAAATCTGAATAGTGAAATGAAGAGCAGACACAGACTCACCCAGTGGTAAATTGACTTTTATTTATTTATTTTTAACATTACTTTTGACATCAAGACTAACCCTGAAAGCCTTAAAGGTTTTTTTTTTTTTTTTTTTTTTTAAAAAGGATTTTCTTGACGTTTCTCGTCAACCTTGACAATCGGATACTTCACAGTATAATGGCATCACAGTTACACTTATTCTTCACCACACACACACATTATATACACACTGTTGCTCTTTCATACTCTTGCATTCCACTTTCTGTGTCCACTTCCCTCTCGTGCTCATTTGCACAGCGCTGCACACACATTCCCTCGCACGTTCATTTACTCAAGGACACACTCTTAACACACCCACATAATGCAAGCAACCCATCCTTCATTTCTCCTCCTCCTCCTCCCACTCTCTCTGCTTGCGACTTGCCTTTGGGCAGCATGAGCTGAAGTGGTCTGAAGGAGTTAGTGCCATGTATACAAAGTGCTCACTTTTCCCGGACGTGCATGTGAGCGGGGGAATTATTGGGGGAAGATTCTCTCAGAGCTCTCAGAGTCCACCTCAGGAGCGGACAGACCCGTCTCTCTGCTCACTGCTACTCCGATTCGGCCGAATGTATTTTTGAACCCATCTT